GGGAGGGAGGGAGGGGAAGGAAAGGAGGAAAGAAAGAAATTACAAAACCATACATAAACGCACACACACATCCTTTGACCTCACAATTCCACCAAGAAGCATTTCAACCTGAGACACTTAGGACCAACCAAGAAAGCCAAACATGCTCCCTAAAACAAGACGCCCCACTTCTAGTTTGCCCACTACCAGCTTTTTCCTGCCAACAATCTCCAAATATCTGGAATCTTCCCTTTTTTGTTTTCAACTTAAAAAACTTTCCTGCCTTTGAATCTATGCCAAAAACAAGTTCCTCTACTACAGCAAGCTATGAATAGTCTCTGTTCGCATTTGGATGATCTCTATTTCCACAAACCTATAGATATAATTGCATGAATACATCATGATTTCTACACAAAAACATTCACTGTAGTTTTGTTTATAGTAATTTAAAGTAACCTAAAATTCATCATTAAGAACTGCTTAATAGGGACTGGGGTTGTGGCTAGGGGGTAGAGTGCTTGCCCCACATATGTGAGGCACTGGGTTTAATTCTCAGCATCACATATAAATAAATGATTAAAATAAAGGTCCATCAACAACTAAAAACATTTTTTAAAAAAATAACCGCTTAATAAATCCCCAGTATTATAAAAAGAAAAAAAGGAGAAAAAGCTGTTTAAGATAAATCTATACACCATTATGGAGCAGTCCTGGTAGTAAAAAATAATAAAATAAATGTTATGTATTTTTAATAGCCTCAGATTGTTTTTTTTTTTTTTTGGGGGGGGGGGTAAACTGGGGATTGAACCCTGAGCTATATCCCCTACTATTTTTATTTTGATTTGAGACAGTTTCTCCATAAAATTGCTTAGGGCCTTGATAATTTTCTGAGGCTGACCTTGAACTTGCAATCCTCCTGCCTCAACCTCCCAAGTTGCTGGAATTACAGACATCACTACCATGCCCAGCTAGCCCTAGATACATTACATCCAAAAAGTAGGAAGAAAATGCATCCAGGAAGTCTCCTTTCACACAAATTCAAAAGAAATGTCATAGAATACACCAAAATTTTTATTTTGACATTTGAAATGGAAGGAAGGAAGGGAGGAAGGGAGGGACACTATTAACTGCATTTCAGAGTACTGGGAAGAAAAGCATAGCAAGGCAAACTGTTACCTTTTTATTCCATAAAACCAATCTATATACAATATTATTTGAATGAATGAAGATAAGAAAGTTTTGGGGGATTTTTTGGTTGTCATTGTTTGTTGTACCAGAGACAAAACCCAAGGGTGCTCTACAATTGAACTACATTCTCAGCCCTTTTTACTTTTTATTTTGAGACAGGGAATCACTAAGTTGCTGAGGCTGGTCTCAAAGTTAGAATCTTCTTCCAGAGTCACTGAGACTGCAGGCATGTGCCAGACAGCCAGGCTTAGATAAGTAAGAGTTAGCTAGAAAATCTGCATTGTTTTTTTTTTTTTTAATTTTTCTCTATTAAAAACAATAATTATGTTTAAAATAAAATAAAAACAAATATTAAATACTAATAGTGTTGTTAAATACAGAAAAATAAAATGTTATATTGCAAAATATAACAAGGGTAAAATCTTCTGGGTACAATGTAATTTTCTCTAATACTCTAATTTAGTAAAGAATGATCTATAGTTTGGGTAGACCAGGTGAGACATTTAGAGCTTTTTCCCCAGTATTGTTAATAGTCTTTTTATTCACAGATAATACGTATTATAGGTAATGAAAGGGAAATGAGTACTCAATAATATATACAATAACAAAAGCAAACCTCTTTACTCCCTCCATCCACTACAAGCCTTACCTAAGTGAACTTCTACATTCTCTCAGCTCTGTCCACTTCTCTCATTGCTGCAGCCATTAACCTAATCCTAGTCATTTATCATCTCTCCTTAGGTTACTATATAATGTTTCCACTAATTTCTCTATGTGAAGTCTTAATCCCTGTAATCCACTCGCCATTTTACAATATGAATAATCTTTCAAAAATGCAAATTTAATCCAAGCTTGTTGGCACACACCTGTAATCCCAGCTGCTTGGGAGGCTTTGGCTTGATCATAAATTCAAGGCCAGCCTAGAAAACTAAGTGAGACCCTGTCTCAAAATAAACAAAACAAATAAAAAGGGCTGAGGCGAACCTCAGTGATAGAAAACCCCTGGGTTCAATCCCCAGCACTGCAAAAATAACCAATTTGATCATGTTACTTCCCCTAATTAAATTGAAGTGAGTTGCCCCTTCAATCTCCCCCACACCTTTTTTTTTTGGCCAAAAATAAGAACTTAGGCTAAGTAGTTTAACTAGAAATTTAGCAATTTTCTACATGTCTTCCTGTATGACAAGGAAAGCAAGGTTTAAATTTTCTTTTAAGATAATGATTACTATAAAATTTAGTCAAATATAAATTTTATATTAAAAAATATAAAATTTAATTTAATATAAAATATAAATTTTATATTAAAAAGTATCAGTGAGATGTGCGCAGTGGTTCATGCCTGTAATACTAGCTACTCAAGAGGCTAGGACAGGAGGACCCAAGTTTAAGACCAGCTTCAGCAGCTTAGCAAGATTCTCAACAATGTAGTGAGATCCTGTCTCAAAATAAAAAATAAAAGAGCTTAGAATGAGCTCAGTGGTAAAGCACCCTAGGGTTCAATTCCCCCATGTTAAAAAAAAAAAAAGTATTGAGTGAATAATTTGTTCACACTAAAGATACTGCTAAAATCCTGAAGATTGTTGGGCATAGTGGTAAGTACCTATACACTGCTAGAACTTGGGAAGCAGAGATGGGAGAATCACTTGAGACCAGCCTGGGTAACAAAGCAAAACCCAGTTGAAAAGAAAAACAAAACCAAACAAAAAACTACAAACCCCAAGAAGCAAAAACTCTGTTGATTATATATTTCTTTCACTTAGATTATATCATATGGGGCTGGAGATGTAATTCAGTGCTAGAATACTTGCCTACTTAGCATGGGAAATGTCCTGGGTTTGATCCCCAGAACTACTCTGTGTGTGTGTGTGTGTGTGTGTGTGTGTGTGTGTGTGTGTGTGTGTGTGTGTGTTATGAGTAATAGATTTATAGGGATCAGAAGAAATAAGATTTATATATGTGTATTGAATCTCATGTGTGTGTGTGTGTGTGTGTGTCTTTTTCTAAGAGGTTTGTAGGATCAGAAGAAATAAGATTTTTTTCATCCCAGAATTCTGATAAAAGTATCTGATTAAGATTCTTTTTCATTGGAGGCTGGGTTGTGGCTCAGTGGTAGAGCACTTGCCTAGCATGTGTGAGGCACTGGGTTCAATCCTCAGCACCACATAAAAATAAATACACAAAATAAAGGCATTGTGTTCATCTACAACTAAAAAGAAAATTAAAAAAAAAAAGATTCTTTTTTACTAAACTACTGGATGTTGGAGAAATTAATGTAGAGATAGCATGCACTTTAACTACAGGGAATAACAAGAACCCAAACAGCAGTTCTGCAAATAATTATTCATAATAAGCATAGAAAATAAAATGATCAAGCATATCATCTTTCAGGAAAAGGTATTTTTACCCTGGTCAGGGCAATTATGCCAAAAAAAAAATTATATTGTTTTCTTTGGAGAAAGGAGACAGCAACCTTGTTCCTGAAGTTAAACTGAAATAATTGTATATTGTTTCCCAGAAGGCATGACCTCACCAAGCCCTGTTTATGGTCATCACAGGCAAATCAGCAACTGCAAAAATTGACTTTATAGGTATTAAAAATGATTAAAACAATCAATTTCCTATATATTTTTAACTAATTAATTAGTGTATGTGATCATAATATCAACTTTTCTACATATACTGAAAAGTATAATTTATAAACAGTTAAGCATATATAAACTGCTTAGTTAATGCAAAAAAGCACTGTATTTTTATCAAATTGCAGGACACACTACATGAAAATTTATATGCAAAAAGCCTTATGAAACAGCATTGTTCATAGGAAGAAAAATCCAATTCTTATATCAGACCTCTGTACTGTGGTGGGTAAGGCTGCCAGGTTTTTTTTTAAAAAAGCATATCCAGTTCAATTAGAATTTTAGATAAACTATGAATAATCTTTTTAGCCTAAATATATTTTATGTAATATCTGTATTTCCTAGATAAATATTTATTTGCTAAATTTAGCAAGCTTACGTACAGGTAATAGTGGCTAATGAATCTGTTTGGGGAATTGACCAGAAAAGTAATTTAAGTTTTGAAAAGATAGAGATCTCACTGAACAAACTACTCATTCTGTGGTACTTTCTGGATTATCATTTTAATTTCCTAAACAGTCAATGTGATTCTGGTCTACTTAAAATACACAAAAAGCTATGTATTTTTATCTACAAAATCAAAAAGCAAACAAAACTCTTAAAATACATAAGATGCATTTGAAGGAAATATATCAAAATATTAGAGGATATTCTTGCCCTGGATGATAATTCTATAAATGATTGTTTTACTTTTTCTACTCTTCCATATGTTCTTCAATTTTTTATGAGCATTAAAACAAAGGAAAAACTTTTTCTAATGGATGGATAGAAAGTAAAGATTCTAACAAAAAACAACAGGGAGTTCAAAGCCATCGTCAGCAAAAGTGAGGTGCTAAGCAATTCAGTGAGACCTTGACTCTAAAATTAAAAAACAAAATAGGACTATGGATATGGCTCTGTGGTCAAGTGCCTCTGAGCTCAATCCCCAAAAGAAAAATTTTTTGCCAGATATTGAGATGCACACCTGTAATCCCAGCATCTTAGGAGGCTAAGGCAGGAGGATCACAAGCTCAATGCCAGACTTAGCAACTTAGTGAGACTCAGCAATTTAGTAAGACCGGCAATTTTGTGGACCCTGTCTCAAAATAAAAAATAAACAAGTGCCAGGGATATGATTCAGTGGTTAAATATCCCTGGGTTCAATCCCTGGTACCAAAAACAAAATAATAATAATAATAATACTTTCTCTAGTGAATAAGAATTCTATAGAAATTTTTGTACCTCTAGAAAAGAGAAAGGAATGCTTCCTATGGAGGCCATTAATGTATAAAAAAGAGTCTTGTATGATAATTTTACAGTTCTTAATTGGGGAAAAATTATTACCAAAAATAAACTATCCATTCTGTAACATAATCATAACATTTTGAGTACCATCAAACATCAGAATGCCATTTAGTAAGCCAATAAAGTTCTATTCTAATGTACTCAAAGTAGTCCCACAATGTAATCATTACCTAGCCTGAATTACTATTGTCAAGATCAAAGAAAAGCATCTTAAAGGGGATAGTATTATATTATCTTACATTAGTGAATCTGATCAATACAGATTGCTAATCAGAAGCAAAACCTCCCCAGCGGATTTTCTGGTTTTGTATTTAGTCTTTAGCTTCTCCTCTTCAGGAAACCCTTTATAGTTCCTAGTGAAGTTAGTACCTTCTCTAAAGCACTGATATCCATTGATCCTTGAGATTCCTAATAATTCCATAGAAAGGAGAGATTCCTTCATGTTCTAAAATTTGTTACAATTTTCCCCTAGAATTAATTTGCAAGGAATAATGTAGACATAATATATTTTAACTCTCTACAAAAATAACTTCTAATTAAAGATAATGTCAGTTAAGAAGTAAAATCTGTCAAAAACATCAGTTACTTATGAAAACATTAACTATCTTAAAGTCTTAGTTAGCATGCAGAGTTGTATATTACAGAGGAAAATCATTTAAAAAAAAAAAAAGTTGGCTTGAACTATCTGAGGTAAAGAAACAATTTTTTTTTCTCTTTCTAGTTCATCAAAGACCAACAGTTGTGTAAAATAAAAATAATCATTAGATGGGGCTAGGAATATAGCTCAGCTGGTAGAGCGCTTACCTCATGTGCACAAGGCCCTGGGTTCAATCCCAGTAGCACACACACACACACA